CTGCTTGCCCGAATGCATCCACTGGTGGGTGCTGAGCACGTAGACATCCCCAAACCCTTCCTGCAGTGCTGGCAGAACTATGGATGCTCCTGTGTGTGGATGCACTGGTGCTTAGCCAGGAGGGAGGAGCAAGTGAAGCTTTGCCCACAGTCTGAGCACCTATGTGACTTGTCCCTCATGTGGATGCGCTGGTGTTGGGTCAAGTGGGAGGAGCGAGCGAAGCCCTTCCCACACTCGGGGCACTGATATGGCTTCTCCCCCGTGTGGATGCGCTGGTGCCGGACGAGGTCAAAGGAAAGGGCAAAGCCCTTCCCACACTCAGGACACTGATATGGCTTCTCCCCTGTGTGGATGCGCCGGTGCTGGTCCAGGTTCCAGGCTTGGGTAAAGCTCTTCCCGCAGTCAGGGCACTTATATGGCTTCTCCCCTGTGTGGATGCGCCGGTGCTGGTCCAGGTTCCAGGCTTGGGTAAAGCTCTTCCCGCAGTCAGGGCACTTATATGGCTTCTCCCCTGTGTGGATGCGCTGGTGCTTACCCAGGTAGGAGCCTTGGTTGAAGCTTTTCCCACACTCAGAGCACTGATATGGCTTCTCCCCTGTGTGGATGCGCTGGTGCTGGGCCAGGTGGGAGGAAAGGGTGAAGCTCTTCCCACACTCAGGGCACTGATATGGCTTCTCCCTTGTGTGGATGCGCTGGTGTTGAATCAGGCTAGAGGAGTGGGCGAAGCTCTTCCCGCACTCAGGGCACTGATATGGCTTCTCCCCTGTGTGGATGCGCTGGTGCCGGACCATTAGGGAGGCTTCGGTAAAGCTCTTCCCACACTGAGGGCACTGATATGGCTTCTCCCCTGTGTGGATGCGCTGGTGCCGGACCATTAGGGAGGAAAGGGTGAAGCTCTTCCCACACTCAGAGCACTGATGTGGCTTCTCCCTTGTGTGGATGTGCCGGTGCTGGGCCAGGCTGGAGGAGAAAGTAAAGCTCTTCCCACACTCAGAGCACTGATATGGCTTCTCTCCCGTGTGAATGAGCTTGTGCTTGGTCAGGGAGGAAGAATAACTGAAGCTCTTGCCACACTCAGAGCACTGATATGGCTTCTCCTCCGTGTGCATGCGCTGGTGCTGGACCAGGTGGGAGGAATAACTGAAGCTCTTCCCACACTCAGAGCACTGATGTGGCTTCTCCCCTGCATGGATAACCTGGTGTTGGACCAGCTTGGAAGAAGAGATGAAGCTCTTCCCCAACACCGAGCAAAGATGACGC